CTGTCTCAAAAATAAATAAACGTTAAAAAAATTTATTAAAAAAATAAATAAATGAAACCTGAAGTTAAAGCAGAGAATGATTCCCAAATCCCATGTGGTTTTTTTTAGAGCTGCTGTTATGGTGCTTGAACAGAACACCTCACTAGAAATAAACAGGCGAGGGACACCTGGGTGGCTCAGATGGTTGAGTGTCCAACTTTGGCTCCAGTCATGATCTCGTTCCCGAGTTTGAGTCCTGTGTGGAGCTCTGTTGTGACAGCTCGGAGCCGGGAGCCTGCTTTAGATTCTGTCTCTCTCTCTCTCTGCCCCTCCTCAACTCATGCTCTGTCTCTCTCTCTCTCTCTCAAAAATAAACATTAAAAAAAATTTTTTTTTAATTAAAAAAAAAGAAACAGGCGAGATTCTAATATCTCCTTCTTTGCTTCCTAGCTGACTGACGCTGGACAAGTTCAAGTAACCTCTCTGAGGTTCAGGTTCCTTATGTATACAAGGATTTAATAATATAGATTTTTTTTTTATCTACCTCATTGAGTGGCTGTAAGATTCGAATGAGAGTATATGTATAAAATGTCATAAAATATCTTAAAAGTCTTACAAACGCAGGGTATTACGTTTACTAATACCAAGCATGTTTTAGAATCAGGGAACCCGATATCCAAAGCTGGCTCAAAACAGAGATAACCTCTGCTTTCTCTGCCTTCCTTTTTCATTTCAACCAAGTAACACACACACACACACACACACACACACACACAAGAATTACGTTGCAAATGAGAGAAACATTTCCAAGACTTGAAAAGGAATCTTATCAAAACATGTCCAATTGAAATGAGAAATGGCCCAGCCACCGTGAGCCTCTGACAATTTTATGGCCTAATCGTGTAACCTTACACATGCCAGAGTGCAAAAAAATGATTTAGGGACCAGACTCATAAAGGAGGCTGTGGTGCTTCAGGAATCAAACATGTTTACAGAGAGCATAGCTCTGCCCCACCAGGCACTAGAATAAGTGTGTTGCCAGGCCAGGCATCCGAAGCCGCCCGAATACTGTATTTTGCAAAACCTAAGAGGTTTTCCATCATTCCTACCTATGCATTTAATGATTCTGCTGTTACGGGGAGCCTGCATGACTTCAGCTCAGGTCATGATCTCATGATTCGTGAGTTCAAGCCCCTCACTGGGCTCTGTGCTAACAGCACGGAGCACCAAGCCTGCTTTGTATTCTGTATCTCTCTCTCTCTCTCTCTGCCTCTCCCCCACTCACATTCTGTCTGTCTCTCTCAAAAATAAATAAACATGTTTTTAATTTAATAAAAAAATTTTAGAGAATTGATTCTGTTGTGATAAAGTCATCGAATAGTCTATCGTGATGCTTAAGGCCACAGGTTCTAGAATCATATTGCTTGGGTTCAAATTCCACCTTTGCCACTAGCTGCGTGACTTTGGACAAATTATTTAATCTCTATACACCTCAGTTTCCTCACCTAAGGTATTATGAAAACAGTACCTACCTCAAACATTCTTATGGGAGTTAAATCTAATTATATATACATATATATACATATATGTGTGTATATATGTACACATATATACATATATACATATATGTACATATATACATATATACATATATACATGTATATACATATATACACACGTATATGTATATGTAACTTATGTAATATTATATACATTATATACATATGTGTATATATACATATGTGCATGTATATACACATATACACATATATGTATATACATATATATACACATATAT